TTATCAAGGCTTACCTCACTGATGCTATTCCTGAGAGCCTTATCTGTCAGCTACAGAGACTGAATCTGAGCTCCTGACATGATACCATTTCCCAGGGGAATCAATTAGACACATGGTGATAGATTGATTGCATTAGACTTCTTTAATCTTGGAGATAGCTGACATTTATATTAACTTGAATAGGTGTATATTCTTGCATATATATTGGTCTTTCTTGCTAAGAATTCTACTGCCAGCATCACCTTCATAAACTCACAAAATTCCTAATCCACCATCAAGATATTTCCCATAGCACTTTTCTGATCAAAGAACTCTTTTCATGACAAAGGATGTACAGCAGTGGTCACAGTCTTACAACATATCATATAACCCAGAACTGTATGGACTATTGAAAGTAGGAGTGGCTTATTGAAGACTCTTATGGTTTCAGTTGGAAGACAAGACCCTAAAAAGATCGGTCTTGTTTTACAAAATGCAGTGTATGCTTTTTATCACAGACCGTTATTTATGTGGTTTCCCTCATAGACAGGATGCTTGGCTCTAAGAATCAAGGAAGTGGGCATGGAAGTGGATCCTCTCACTATTATATCCACTAACGATAGCAGAATTTTTCACCTCCTGTCTTTGTAACTTTGAGTTGTACCCATTGGGAGGTCTTGTTATCCAAAAGGAGGAAGGCTTCTACCAGGGACTTATGAGAGGTTTCACTAAGTTGAAAAATGGAGTTGTCATATGCTTTAGATGTCACTAAACCAATAGGGAGAAAAAGGTGTTATTTTACTAGTTGGATTAATTGCTACCAATTACCAAGAGGGTTTGTGGTGCTGTAAGGTAAGCACTTAACCATAATGTTGGTTTGAATCACAAAGCTGACAGTTCAAACTCACCAGCCACTCCTTGGGAACCCTATACAGGGTCGCTAAGTGTTGGAACCAACTTGATGGCACTTAACAGCAACACCAACCAAGAGGGATTGTGGTTGCTGCTGCACAATAGGAATCGAGAAACCCTAGGACACTTCCATGCCCAATAGGTGGCAAAATGGTTAAGCATTCAGCTGTTAACTGAAAAGTCAATGGTTCAAGCCCACCAGCTGCTCTGTGGTAGAAAAGGCTTGGCACTCTGCTCTTGTAAAGATATGTTGTTCTTGTTAGGCGCTGACTAATAGCGACATCAGAACATCCAAACAAAACCTTGCTCTGTCCCCTCCAGACTCACAATTATTGCTGGGTTTGAACCCATTAGTGCTATCATTGTGCCAGTCCATCTCATCTCACCCTCTTCTTCATTAACCCTCCACTTTACCAAAAATTATGTCCTTCTCCAGGAACTGGACCTTCCTGACGGCATGTCCACAGTACAAGAGAGACAGTCTCACCATAGTCACTTGTAAGGAACAATCTGGCCATACTTCTTCCAATCTGGCAGTCCATGGTACTTTCAACATTCTTTGCCAACATTAAAATTAAAATGCATCAATTCTTCCATACTTTTTCATATTCATTGTCCAGCTTTTGCATGCATATGATATGATTGAAGATTCTATGACTTGAGTCAGGTGCACCTTAGTCCTCAAAGTGACATCTTTGCTAATTAACACTTTGACTAGACCTTTCACATCATATTTGCCTAATGCAATACATCATCTGATTTCTTGACTGCTGCTTCCACAAGCATTGCTAATAGACTCAAGTAAAATTAAGTCTTTGACACCATCGATCTTTACTTCATTTATCATGATGTTATCTATTAGTCCAGTTGTGAGGATTTTGAGTTCCTTTATATTGAGGTGCAACCCATAATGAAGGCTGTATTTTTTTATCTTCATGAGCAAGTACTTCAAATCCTCTTCACTTTCAGCAATCAACCTTGTGTTTTCTGCATATTGTAGGTTATTAATGAGCCTTCCTCCAGTTCTGATGCTGCATTCTTCTTAATATAGTCCAGCTACTTGGATTATTTGCTCAGCATACAGATTTAATAAGTGAGGTGAAAGGACACAACTCTGGCACACACCTTTCCAGATTTTACACTATTTAGTATCCTTTTGTTCTATTTGAATGACTGCCTTTTAGACTCTGTGCAGGTTCTGCATGAGCACAATTAATTGTTCTGGAATTCCCATTCTTCACAATATCATCCATAGTTTTTTGGGATCCACAGCAAACATCATTCTGGTATTTTCTGCTTTAGCCAAGATCCATGTGATGTCAGCAATGATATCCCTGGCTCCAGGTCCTCTTCTAAATCTGGTTTAAATTTAGAAGCTCCCTGTCAATGTACTGCTGCAGTCATTAAAAAAATTATCTTCAGCAAAATTATATTTATATGTGACATTAATGATAGTGTTCGATGATTTCCATATTCATTGGATCATTTTTCTTTGGAATGGACACAAATATAAATCTCTTCCAATCTGTTGGCCAGGTATCTATCTTCCAAATTTATTGGTTTCGACTAATGAGTACCTTCAGTGCTACAACAGTATGTTGTAGCATTTCAATTTGTATTCCTTCAATCCCTAGAGTCTTGTTTTTCAGTACAGCTTGGACTTCTTCCTTCAATATCATCGGTCCTTGATCATATGCTACCTTTTGAAATGGTTGAACATGAACCAATTATTTTTGGTACAGTGTCTCTGTATATTTCTTCCATCTTTTCTTGATGCTTCCTATGTCATTAAATATTTTTGCCCTGCAACCTGATGACTGAATTTTTCTTCAGATCCTTCAGTTTGAGAAATGCTGAGCATGTTCTTCCCTTTTGGTTTTCTAATTCCAGATCTTTGAACCTTTGATTAGAATACATTATATTCTCAAACTGCATTTAAAAATTTTCTATTTAGCTCTCTTATGTCATCATTTCTTCCAGTTGTGTTAGCTTCTTTATGTTCAAGAGCAAGTTTCAGAGTCTCTTCTGACATCCATCTGTGTCTTTCCTTTCTTTCATGTCTTTGAGACGACATTTTGCTTTCCTCATGTATGATGTTCTTGTTGTCATTCCACAACTCCTGTGGTCTTCAGTCATTAGTGTGTAACGCATCAAATCTGTTATTGGGATGGCTACTTCTTTCAGGTGGGATTACTCAATGTCGTATTTTGGTTCTCGTGGCCATGTGTAAATTTTTCCAGCTTCATCCTGAAATTACAGTTGATGAATTGATGTTTCTGTTCCATGTCAGAATTGATTTCTACTCATAGTAACCATATACAACAGAAAGGTCCTTTGGTGGTAACAGTAACAATATTCAAGGTAATATTTTGGTTTTTTTCATGGGTTTGTTCTCATTTTCTTCAACTTTAGGCTGAACTTGCAGGTGAGAAACTGATGGTCTGTTTCAGTCAGCCCTGGCCTTGTTTGGACTAATGATATTAAGCCTTTCCACTATCTCTTGCCATTGATATAGTCTATTTGATTCCTGTGTATTCCATCTGGTGAGGTATATGTTGCCTTTTATGTTGTTTAAAAAGGTATTTGCAATGAATAAGTCAATGATCTTTGAAAAATTCTATCATGCAATCTCCAGTATCATTTCTATCACCAAGGTCATATGTTCCAACTACTAATCTTTCCTATTTGTTTCCAATTTTTGCATTCCATTCACCAGTAATTATCAACACATCTTGATTGCATGTTTTATCAATTTCAAACTGAGTAAGTTGGTAGAAATCTTCATCCTCACTGGCTTCAGTGGTTGGTGCATAAATATGAACAATAGTGGTATTAACTAATTTTCCCTGTAGGTGGATAGCTATTATCCTATCATAGACAGCATTGTACTTCAAGATAGATCTTAAATGTTCTTCTTGATGATGAATGTGACACCATTCCTCTTGAATTTGTTGTTCCTGGTATAGCAAGCCATATTGTTGTCTGATTCAAAATGACCAGTACCAGTCCCTTTCAACTACCTAATGACTAGAATATTTTTATGCATTCTATTTCATTTTTGCACTGGAGAAAGATGAGGCTTTCCGCTCCCATAAAGATTCACAGCCTCAGAAACCCTGTGCAGAGTCACTATGAGTCGGAACTGATTCCACAGTTCTTAACAACAGCAACAAAGATTTATAGCCTCTGAAACCCTACAGGAGGTCACTGAGTCAGAACTGACTCTACACACAGAACCACCACGCCGCCATTTTCTTTGCAACACTTTCAAAATGTCTCAGATCAATGCTTCATACATTCCATGTTCTTTTTCTTAATGGATGTTTGCAGCTGTTTCTCCTAATTTTGAGTTGTGCCATATTAGCAAATGAATGTCCTGTAAGCTTTACTCCATTCACATCATTATGGTCAACTCTAATTTGAGCAGGCAGATCTTCCCCAGTTGCATTTTGAGTGCTTTCCAACCTAAGAGACTTACCTTCTGGCACTATATCCAATAATGTCCTGCTGCTATTCATAATGTTTTTACTTTCTGATTCTATATCTGGCAATGTTCCACAGCTATTCTTAGGTTTTCAGTGGTAGTGCAGTGGAATACAAGCTGATCTGCTAACCACAAGGTCAGCAATCTGAATCTACCAGTTGCTCCACAAAAGAAAGATGAAGTTTTCTGCTCCTGTAAAGATTTACAGCCTCAGAAACCCTATACAGAGTACTAACCAACTATACAACACATAAACATCAACACCACCAAATATTCAGAAGTAGTCCACCTTTCCTTCTTCCGAGTCTGTCTTAGTATGGAAACTCCAGTGAAACTTGTCCATCGTGGGTGAACCTGCTGGTATTTAGAATACTGATGTCATAGCTCCCAGCATCACAGCAATATGCAACCCATCACAGTAAGACAAACTGACAGACAAATGGTGGGGAATTTACTTTTAATCAACTTTTAATTCCACTTTTCCTTGAACTTTTTGATGCCCCCCTTGTATTCTATCTAAGAAGTAACTCAGTGTTAAGTTGATAGGAAGGGCTGCCCCACTGTGACCAAATAGATAACTTACAAAAATATTTTTTGTACCTCCTAGAGGGTTTGTATTCTGCTTTTATGCAAAACAAGTCACTGTGTCACTCAAAGCACAGTAATACATGGCTGAGTCTTCCTCTTCAGCTGATGGTTTCTTCAGATGAAAAGACATCTTGCCCTTGTCAAGATCTGCTGTGAAACCTTTGATGGTTTCTCTTGAGGTGTGTCTCAGAAGTAACTGGAGTCTTTTCTTGGGATACTGAACATACCAAGAGAGAACAGGACTCCCAGAATATGAGTAGTTGCACTTTATTTGCACTGTGGCCCCTTCAAAGACAAATATGTGGTCTTCAGGCTGAGTCACTGTCTGGGCTCTTATTCCTCCTGTAACATAAGTTCTGGATCAGGGAAAGTCTTAAAAACTGAGAATACTATTTTCCTAAACTGATTCTAGCTTATAAACCTCTCAGAAGATGGAATAAAATGAAACTTTACTCACCAAGTGTGGAGATCATCACAAGCACAAAGATGAGGGTGAGCTTCATGTCTGAACTGTGGGGAAGCAGGAGGCCCTTTTCTGGAAGTTTTTTTCTGAAAACAACCCAGCCACAATTACACTCTGAAAGAGTGATGGGTTAGATTACCCAGCGCGGTAAGCAGAAAACTCTTCTTCAAAGGGCTTGGTTACTTTCTGCTCCTAGTTCCCCTTTTTACCAAGTATAATTTGTGTAGCATTATCCTCTAGGGGCCAAATCGGATACGACAGGTAATTTGAGGTTTAGTGGATCTTGTTGCTGCTGTTGTTACGTGCTGCCAAGTCAGTTCCAACTCATAGTCACTCTGTATCGGGTTTCTGAGGAGTGGCTGGTGAGTTTGAACCACTGACCTTGAAATACAAACGACTTTGCAGTCCAGTGCTTTTCCTACAGCACCATGCCAGGATCTTACAAATTTTCAAAAATAGGGATGAAGAGGGATTTTCTCCCCAGTTAAGGAGTCCAAGTGTTTTTGTTGTTAGATGTTGTCCAGGCAATACAGACTTATAGTAAGGCTAAGCACAACAGAGCAAAATGCTACTCGGTCCCATATGAGCCTTGTTGCAGCCAATGTGTCAATCCATTTCATTGAGGGTCTTCTTTTATTGCTGACCCTCTACTTTACCAAGCATGATAGCCTTCTCCAGGGACTAGTACCTCCTGATAACAAGTCCAGAGTACAAAGATGAAGTCTCAACATCCTCGCTTCTAAAGAGCGTATTGGCTGTACTTCTTCCAAGATAGACATTTATTCTTCTTGAAGCCCATTGTATATTCACGGTCTTTCATCAACACCACTATCCTACTGTATCAATTCCTCTTCAGTCTTCCCTATTCATTGTCCTGCTTTCACATACACACAAAGTAATTGAAAATACCAAGTCTTGAGCTAAATATGCCTAAATCCTCAAAGTGCCATCTTTGCGTTTTAAAGTTTTAAAGAGATCTTTTGTAATAAATTTGTCCAATGAAATAAATAATTTGATTTCTTGATTGCTGGTTCTATGGGCATTGATTATAGATGAAATAATAAATGAAAACCTTTAGTAACTTCAATCTTTAACAACTTCAATATTTTCTCTGATTATCATGATATTGTTTATTTGATCAATTGTGAGGACTCTTGTTTTCTTTCGTTGAGGTGTAATCCATAGTAGAATCAACCCCAATGAGATGGATTGGCAGAAGCAATGAGTAAAAGCATCGCAACGATTGTGAGGTCAGTGCAGGATTGGGCAGAGTGTCATTCTGTTGTGCATAGGGTTGCTATGATTCAGTACTGACTCAAAGTCACCAAACATCAACAACAATCCATATTAAAGACCATAGTCTTTGATCTTCATCAGTGTTTCAAACTAAGTGTAACGACATATTAACTGTAAAAATAGGTTACTTTAAAGGCTTAGATAGAAAACTCAATTAAACAGAATAGAAATTCTAAATATCACAAAGACATGAATCAGAAAACATATATCACACTGCGCAGAAATTCCAACTTCTGCACAGGTATACTAATGAAATTTTTAAACATTTCCAAATCACATTTATCACTGATCACCATTAATTCTAACCTATTAGGAACTGTTACCCACACCAGGAAGTGACCTTTCCAAATTTAAGTTCTTCAAGAATAAAAATCAGGTCATAAACAAAGGAGCAATCACTTGACCTAGGAGAAAAGGGACCTAGAAAGATGGTAGCTTGAATGTGGGTCTAATCTGTTGTCCTTAGCAAAGGAGCTTCTGTGTGTGGCCAGCAGCCAGTCTATGGCCAGAGGGGTCAAATGAAGTATCTTTTTGGAAAGCCAGATACAAATCTTGGGTCAAACTGCAGAGAGCTACAGAATAAAGAGAAGAAAACTGCATGTAGGTCATGAAGAAAGTTTAGCTCAGTAAAATATAGGCAGACAAATCCTCAATTTAGTCTCTGCTTTTAAGAAACTCAATTTAAGACATGTTATCTCATTTAAATCTGAAATTAATCAAGACATTTATATAATACTCTAGTATACGATCCAATGGTCCAACTGTAACATTAACAGATCTTCAAATCCACACTACAGCTCTGGTTCTTTGCAAAAAGCAGCACACAATAATATTAGAAGCAGAATTTTAGTAGCCTGAGTCTAGCACAATAACTTGCTCTTCCTCTTTGTCTTTACAAATTTTCCTTCCATAATTTGGAAATATTTGTGCAGAGTTTTCCGTTTCCAGATTGAGAATTTGCAGCAAAACTTGATTGAGTTTCATCCTTTTAGTTATGGACTTTGTGAGCAAAACTAAATAGAAATTTCAAATCCTATTTTCACGTTTTCTCACGTTTTCTGGTATGGCACCGTAGGATAAGCAACAAAAAACTACATAATGTAGTCCTGGTGTGGTGCTGTAGGATAGGAACTGCACTGCAAGGTCAGTGGTTCAAATTTATCATTGAGAACTCTATACAGGGGTACCCCCGCCGAGTATCCCATCTTGTAGCTGTGGAGGACCCAGTGTGGTGCAAAGGTACCGGGTCCCACCTGGAGTCAAGCGGAAAACCGGGGAGCCTGGATCCCTAGAATGCTGTCCTGGTTCCCTCAAGCAGTAATCCAGAGGGAAGTCGTGACCCTTGCCCTGGAGTCGCCCCGTCTGGTCCTAAGGCTGCCTCAGGACTCTGAGCACTAACAGTGTTTCCTTTTTTTTTAAGTGTTTATTGTGAATTGAGTGATAGTTTACATGGGAGAACATCGGTTCACAATCTTGTTTTAACTCAAGACTTCATCTTCTTGGTTTTCTAAAGGAGCGGCTATTTGTCTATGTTTGTGACCTTCTCTTGGAAGAATCAAATGTTTAGCCCATATCTACACCAGCAAGAGTGTGTGGAGACGTACGTGGACAGTTTTATGACCTTTGTGAACTATTCAGAACTGGAGGTCAGGTTCCTGACACAAACTACATATTCATGGGTGACTTTGTAGACAGAGGTTACTAAAGTTTGAAGACCTTCACAAACCTTCTTGCACTAAAGGATAAATGGCCTGATCATATTACATTCTTATGAGGAAATCATGAGTAGACAGATAACACGGGTGCATGGCTTTTATGATGAGTGCCAAACCAAATATGGAAATGCTAATGCTTGGGGAAACTGTACCAGAGCTTTTGACATGCTCACAGTAGCAACTTCAATAGATGAACAGATTTTGTGTGTTCATGGTACTTTATCTCCTGATATCAAAACACTAGATCAAATTCAAACAATTGAACGGAATCAGGAAATTCCTCATAAAGGAGCATTTTGTGACCTGGTTTGGTCAAATCCTGAAGATTGGGATGCGTGCGCAATCCATCCCGGAGGGGCAGGCTGGCTTTTTGGAGCGAAGGTCACAAATGAGTTTGTCCATATGAACAACTTAAAACTCATCTGCAGAGCACACCAACTAGTACATGAAGGCTATACATTTACATTTGATGAGAAGCTGCTAACAGTATGGTCTGCTCCTAATTACTGCTGTCATTGTGGAAATACTGCCTCCATCATGGTTTTCAAAGATGTGAATACAAGAGAACCAGAGTTATTCCAAGCAGTTCCAGACTCAGAATGTGTTATTCCTCCCAGAACAATGACGCCATATTTTATTTGAGCCCTCCACCCATCCTGCTGACCCATTTTCTTGCCCTCTTCTTACCCTATCTTTTCATGTATTACCCACTACAATATACTTTTTATTGAGCACTTTGCTGCCGAAATGCTGCCTGCCTCTTGCCTTTTATTATTATTATTATTATTATTATCTAAATGTATTGTTTGTTTTGGTGTCTATAGCAATGTTTTTCTATCAATTTTCTCTCCTTTCCCATCCCCATCTGGATGCATTGGGAAGACTTGAAAAATGTCTTAATACACAGCTGCATGTAGCTCTTGCTTATTTACTGGTCTGGGGGAAAACAGATGTGTTTCCTTTGTTTAAAAAGTCAATTGACAGTACGGACTACACCAAAATACTCCTCCTTTTGTATCATTCAGCCTTTTGTTTTAGTTTGGTAAGTTTAAAGACATTTCAGCAGCAAAGTTGTTATTCAGTGGACACGATGGGCTGCAAAGACCTTGAGTTATGTATATCTGCCCCAGCAGTAAACTTCATTGTGCTTTGTTGGATATATTTTAAATGGATATAAAATAAATTGGTCTAAAGGGTTAAAAAACAAGATAACTCTGTACAGGGTTGCTATGATTCAGAACCGACTTGACAGAACTTAACAACAACAATAAATATAACAATGTCATGACCAACAGATCACAAGTTCAGTTTTACAATAAATGTGTTAATTTTTTTCATGTAATCAACTAATATCCATGACAAATCCCCATTTCATTCATACTCCAAAACATTTTATTCAGGACTCACACATAAGTTGCAGGGCAACTGCCTGGTGAAGAGTAGTCAGGGTTGTTGGGCATTCATAATGATTTTTGGTGTTTCCTACTCTCCAGCATTTGCTAAAATATCTCAATATCATACGGTCTTCAGTAATTGATTCATGCAGACCTTCACTTCCCATAACAAAGCTCCTTGGTGTCAGAAACTTTTTAGATACTTACTTAGGACTCCTTTACAGGGCACCCCACAATGATTATGTGTTCCTATGCCTCACTGGGACTACAGGATATTCTACAGATTAATGCCCCAACTATCTCCATTCCATAACCAAGTACACAGGAATCAATCTACTCTCTTACAAGGCTCAAGCCAAGAATCATGAATTCTAATCAGCCTGTACCTAAAAATAGGAAGAGAGAATCTCTGTAAATATGTAGGGGTTTTTGTCTCTCCCAGATCTCACCCTGTTATTCTAGTCCTTCTATCTACCCATAAAATATATCTTTATCTAATCCAAGAGTGGAGTTGCAGCTGAATGTGGAGGTAAAGTAGAAGATCTTTAATTAAAAATAATGTATGACATTTCTAAGTAATTTATGATATCTTTCTTTCTCTCTTTTCATTTCTGTTTTGCCGTTACTTTCCTAAA